TATACCTGTTTTTATTGTTATTTATATTTTTAAACTTGTATCCATGCAAGTTTTTTTTTTAATCCTCAGACTACTAATGAATTTCAAAAAAACATATCAGTCTTCGGTTATTTTCATATATGGTACTAAAATAGATATGTCCAATGATTTCCAAGTATCTTTAGTCTGAACTGTCATGTTGTACTTCATCTGACTTATGTCATTAAATAAAAGCACACGTCAACCCCTGCAGACATTTACTTGTATAATTAGCCTCAAAAATCCATCATTTTTGCAAAAAAAATCCTTATTCCTGCAGAGCAAAGCTGGAGGAAATAAGAATGGGAGAACTTATTTGTAGCAGTTGGAAGATGGTTATTTGATGTTATTTATTTACAGTATAAAGCCCTACAGGGTCTGACATGTTAAATAAATGTGAAACTGAGTTTTTGAAAGAATCCGTAAAACTTGAAACAGCTGAGATTGTTCTATATGTCTGTATACCTGCAAAATGAGGGAAAATCCATGTAAATTACAGACAATCCGTACAAGTTGRCATGTTTGTAGGAGTGTGAAGCTCAATCCAAATATTAATATTATTAATATTAATGTTGGTATCTGATTGTATCGATACTGGCCTGATGGGATCAATACAGTTTGTTTCTCTACACTAAGTCCAGTATGTTGCTCTRGTACAGAAATACAATTCAAGTAGGTGGGAAAGTGCATTTAAACATAAACACTGGATGAAACAACCACAGCAGATAACTGTTGTGTGATTGTGAAACTTCAGAATTGATACAGAATTAATGTCATCTTCTGCTCACATGTATTTATGACGTTATGATGTGAACAACCAAACACACAGATACACACAAAAGTATCCTAGACAAAACAACTGGAATGAGCAACATGAAACTCAACAAATGTTATTCATTATACACAACCAGTCTGCTGCTTCCTGCTGAAGACATCTCAGAACATTTATCAGTAATTCTTTTTTTCCCCTGCAACACTGCCGTACTGTATACCGTCTTAAAAAGACGAGTGCCAGTGTGGGGGTAAAATAAATAAATAAATAAATAAATAAATAAATAAATAAATAAATAAATAAATCAAACATAGATGAAAGTCATGTCTTTAAGAAACAAACAAATCCATCCCACATGTGACACAGGACCTGGGAGATGAATGATCTTTTCAATAATCACCAATCACATGCAGAGATATTTAAAAATCACTTTGTGCTAAAATAGTATTTTGTGTCAAACTGTTATTAGTAATTTCAAAGAGTCAAAGGAGGAAAAAAGAAAAAAAAACTGTTTTTGTGACGCACTGCTAGGGACAAAAGTGCCTAAAGATATAATTTAAAAGCAGGTTCTTTACTTAATTGTTTGTTGTGTGTAACCATAACACTGATTCATGCCTTAAAGCTTTGTAGCTTTTTTATATCTGAATGATTCATAGGTCAAAGTTAAGTGGCTTAAAACAAATCAGACCACAGAAACTATTCAGTGTGGAGAGCCGTTTCATTCTAAATACAATAAATAAATAAATAAATTTAAGTGGCTTAA